TGGGCAGGGAGGCGGCCGGTCAAGTCCCGCCGGAGGGAGGCGGCCCATCGTCATGCGGGGGCCGCTCCCGGGGACTGCTGTTGCCGCCTGCCGTCCTGGGCATCCGTGCTACCCCTGTTGGAACTCTGCGGAGACTAGCGGACCTTGGGGTTTTTGCAGGATCCGATGCCCTGGCTGCTTAACCGCGCTTGGAGATCATGAGTGGCTTTGGCCTGAGCTTATATATCTATTAGTTTAATGTCCTTTTGTAGCTGTTGTCTGGATTGTGAGATTTCAGCACTGGCACTGGCATAGGTCTTCTTTTCTATCTGTAATGAATGCAGATGTTACAGGTAATTTCACCTAAAGAAAACCCAGCAACAGCAAAGAGAATGTTAATTGAGCTTTCAGTATGTTCTCTCATTTGCAAGATGTGGGACTTTGTGGGAGACACTGGACTTTCAACCACATTATGAGAGCTTGTTTTATTTACTGCTGTTGCGGTTTCCTAGACTGCCTTTAATTTCCAGGTAGTCGAGATCTGTGCTCACATTTTCAGTATTGTTCATCCAGGTGTTGAAGTATTGCATTTTTGCAGGAGCTATGCTGTGCAGTTGGATTAATAAGGACAAGGTGATCAGATTAACTGTTTTGTCCGAGTTGCTACATTCCTGTCTCCGACACCAGCACTACTAACTCAGTATGTTGGAGTAAATGAAATGGACTTCACCTTTGGTTGTGTCAGCTCTCCAGGGACTGCGATTAAACTCCCATTCATGCCTTCTTGTGCCTCCTTGTGACTTGTGCTACCTGCATGAGCAAGATTTATTGTAATGTACTTGGCCATGTCAATCTTCTGAAATGGAGGCATACATAGAAGGGCTAGTTAGCCAGATGTAAAAATGCTTCCTCCTTGATTTGCCCTGGGAATATTTGTTTCTGGGCAATAGGCTGTTGAGAAACAAATTCAGATTATCACTCAAAATTTGTTAGTTTATATGTAAAAGAAGCATAACATACTTTCCTGTGTATTTTTGCTTGTACAGCTATAAAAGATACATCATTCAGCTACATTATACACATGTACATGTAATGCAAAGACAAATTTATCCAAGAGCCTCCTCTCCCCTACAGTCCTTCTGGTTCTGATCCTCTGATTGTCTCTGTCTCTGATTTCGCATGACTTTTCTGAGGGTACTGTTCACTTGCGGATTTACTTCCAAGTACTGGTGCTTTTAAAGGGGGAACACTTCTGTGAGGTATACAGGAATTACACATGTGAAAATATGGTTGTTTTTTAACATACTAGTTAACATGATAACCCAATGAAGCAAGCACAGAAACTAGTCAGAAGGCAAGCCTTCACAATACTTAGGCTCCTTTTTACTTATTTCAGTGTATATTTGTCTTTGTGCTTATATCCTTATCTGCAGGCAGAGCTAGGCCTTAATGAGCACCACCAGAATGAAGTGATCAACTACATGCGCTTTGCTCGTTTCAAGCGTGGCCTGTGTCTCAAAACAGTGGATTCTTGTTTTCAGGACCTTAAGGACAGCAGGTACCGTGAGGGATGGTTCTGAGCAAGAATAAAGCAAAATATGCTAGCAACAATCACAAGTTTAAATGCTTGATGGGACGACTTTTCTCCCTTTACATTTGTTATGTTCTTAGTGAGGAAGAAAGACCCAATAATTTTCCAAATGTTACAAGTCAAGTCCTTTTAAAACTAAGTTGTTCAAATTCTTAGGAATTAACATAGATATTGACAGCATGACATTGCTTTATATCTTGCTTCTGACGTCTAAATTTCATGCAAGACTGTAGCTGAAGTAATATTTGTGATTGTAATGTTTCTAAGAGAAAATTTAAATCCAATAACCAATTAGTAGTGCTATGGTCATCTAATAACTACTGACAGTGGATGTTTTCAGAAGGACATTGCATTGTAGAAGAGTGATACCTGTAGTGAGGTCTCATAACAATGCAAAATTGTTAACCTTTATCATACATGACTCATCTTGACTGCTCTGTTTAGATTGGTTGAGGAGACCTTCACAGTTGATGAGGTGGCAGACATGCTGGATGGACTGCGGACTGTTGTACACAGTGAAGTGGAGTCAGAGCTCATAAATACAACTTACACCAATGTTTTACTTCTGCGGCAGCTCTTTTCGCAGGCTGAGAAATGGTACCTTAAGTTACAGACAGACGTCTCTGAATTGGAGAATCGGTAACATATATTGGACTATACAGAATGCCTTTCAGTAATAAGAAAACGTCAAAATGTTGACTATTTGCATTCTTTTCCTAACCACAGAAGGCTATTCTTTTACTATTGTATTGATGATAGGTTAGTTTCAAGTCTTCCATCTATAAAGTAGCAAGATACACAAATTTGTTATAAATTGATACTTCAGATTTGTCAGGAAGATGTTTTTATTGGTAATGTTCTTACTTGAACTAATCAATTAAAAACAGGTGATAGGATTTGATTAAAAAGCCTTTGTTGTCGGAGTAGATTATATTTTAATCAAACATGCTAAATCTTACAGTTCTAATGCATATACCATGCCACTGCATGACATGATCTGTTGCATTCATTGTATTTGCATAGGACTTCATTCTGTACTTCTACGAGAATCTTACATGCGATAAAGAACATAGCATCAGCCTGGTAAAATGGGTTTCATACCATAGCAGTTTAGTAAATAAATGTCTCCCTTTATTTTTCTTTTCAAGAGAATTGTTGGAACAGGTTGCTGAGTTTGAAAAGTCAGAATTTACATCTTCGAACAAGAAGGTAGAGTTTTATTTTAATCAAATCATAATCAAATGTCATGTGGAGTCATGACAGACATTTAAAATACTTAGTACTGACTTGTTGTGCTTAAGAGAGAAAAACAAAACAAAAAACCCAGTCTTTTTCAAAACAGTCTTTGAAAGTCTCCAAAAGGTAGCATTTTGCAGTTCGGCACCAAGGCTCTCACTGAATTGCCTTGGCTGTTTCCTGATTGCAAATTCTGCACATCCGGGTCATGCTTCATAATCCTCGTTCCAAAGTCAGACAGATCAGGGATGTGTTGGAGCGTCTGCTCCTGGGTTCCCTTCCCCCTGGAAACTGGGGTAGGACTGGGACATTCGCTTGTCCCAACATGGAGTCAAGAGCTGAGAAGGTTCCATAATACAGATATTACTCTAGCTTATCTTGTATGATTATGGTTGCACGTTACTTGGTTTGTACTGTAAAGGTATATTTAGTTAACACATATTACATTTGAATACTTAAAATAAGAAAATTATTTGGAGCTATGTAAACACTTTTTACAATCACTCAAATATTTTTTTTCTGTTTTCCTTACTCCTTTGTCTTTTGGTTGCTGCAGCATTGGTAGTCTGTTGTACATTCAAGTTTGCAATCCTTTTATGTCTCTATGCAGTATTTTTGTTTAACTGAAAGTGAAGTATATAACTTAGGAGCCAAGGTACCAGTAAAAAATGAACTTAAAATAAAAGGTCGTTCATTTGCTTCACAAAAGAAAGCTGAATTGACTGTCAACAGTTATTTTACAGACTAAAGGAATATTTTTCTTTCTCCTAGAAATCAGAATAATTTAATTTTTTAATCTTTATTATTTCTTTAGCCTAGTGCAGATCTCATTAAACCAAAACTGGCTCCATTAAATGAAGGTGGGTCAGAGCTGCTAAACAAGGTAAGAACTTATCTGTTCGTGCAGTTGTGGTCAATGACCATTCTGCTTATTCAACTGAACTGGATAGTTGTACAGTAACATTTGTAAAATGTGCCTGTCACTATATAGACATCAAGGTAATATACCCCAGAAATGTAAAGTAAAATGCTAATAAATTAATAACATTGTAAAGCATCTTAAATTTATTGTGTGTTATGGTCTCTAACACGTATTGCAGTATTAACTTTCCTTTTGCAAAGACATTTTGGCCTCTGTAATTATTTATTTTTCCATTTAATGGGGTAAATTAGTGGAAAGCAGTATTCAGTTTGTTCCGTGCAGCTGGCTGGTTTTCCAACAAGGAAGTAAATTACAATAATGCAGCTGCCTGAAATGATTAGGTTATCAGACATTTTCGGTATCATTCAAAGTCAATCTTACTACATTCAGTCTTTTGTCTTTTGTTAGTTGGTTAAATTCCTCCTAAAGAAACAGGCACTTAAAGAATTTGGAGTTTACTAGTTTTGAAAGCATCTGATTTCCCACTTGCCAAAGATTTTCAGAATTACAAAACACATTCTAGTATTTAATGTTTTTTATTAGGTATTGAACTCATTTAGTTCAGTTGAACTTTTTAAAATGCCATGCTTCTTACAATACACTTTTAAGTTATGGCAGTCAAGATATTTAGCAAGGAGTTGTGTTTTCTGTTGTCTTCTGCATTACCAAAATGATCTGTCAAGTACAGTGTCTGAATCAAATTGTTGTTACCCATTAACATAATTAGAGCATTCAAGAATTCAGACTTGTATTTTACTTATAGAACAATGTAGTTCTCTTTCAAAAATAATTTGAAATCTGTTTCATAACAGTTTTTGTTGAATATGTGCATGTGATATCTTTTTTTTTCCTCAAATATAATTTAAAGCTTATATGGTGAATTTACTCTGACTGATAAAGCATGGTTGTTTTCTGTGACACAGAACGTAATAGGTAGTAACCTGGTATTTGTCTCTTTTAAACAGGAACTATGAATAAATTCTTATTTGCCTGTTGATTGAAAATACAAATGATGAGCAGCAATGAGATCTGCATCTCTGAACATGCAATTTTCTGTATCATGAATCTTTATACTAACAAGATGCCAAGTTCGCTAATCTCAATTTAGTAAAGCATGTGACAGATTTAAGTGAACGGTCCTATATATTACAGTAGAATTGGAGACTTAAATTTCTTGCCAAATGAGGCAGAAAACACAATAAATAAATGGATTATGGATTTCTTATGAAAGCCATTTTTATAAGCATTTAGAAGCTTGTTTGCTTTCCTAAGCTATGGAGCATATTTCCTTACCTGAAATATTTGGAAAATTCAAAATAACACAAGGGTGTTCACAAACTTTTTCTCATTCATTAACCCAAAGACAGTTGCTTGTCTCCAAGAAGAAAACGAAAAGTTAAAGACCAGACTGAAGACCATAGAAACACAGGTAAATTCCCTGTAACCTTGGATACTTAATGCTGTTTACATATTAAAAAATATCTAAATAAGAATCCCATGGTTATTGTTCTTAGGTTTTTAATTGAAATATGTTTCTGAGGTTTTACATTTCTAATGTATCACAGGCTACAGCTGCACTAGATGAGAAGTCCAAGCTAGAGAAGTCACTGAAGGATTTACAAATGATCCAAGGAGATCAAAAGGTAAATATAATTAAGCTTTCCACCCCCACCCCCCCTGTTTAACACAACGGTTGTCTGTACATCAAAAGCTGGTCTTTATGGTGTGTTTCTTTTCTGGCAAATACAAAGTTCAAGTTAGTATTGTCTTGTTCCTGC